AAAAGATAAGATTTAATTATTACAATAAATAAATTTTTTTGATAATTATAAATAAATAAAATATAACCAAAAGAACTAATTAACTATATATATAAAGAAAGAAAGAACACCCCCTTTTCTTTTCCAACCGGAGTCTTTGTCCGGGTCTATGAAGCTTAATCATAGAAAGTTAATTTCTTCTCCCCCTTTAAAGATGGGTTCTTTTAACCCTTAAAATGTTCATTACTTGGGCTTGTTAGTTTTGGGCTTACTGGCTCAGGACAGCAAGTGAAATTCGGCTGAATTTGGGTTGCTCTCTTTTTTGTTTGTAAGGAGAGCACATGAATGTATGGAGAGGGTTTGATTGATTTGGTGACGAGGGAAACTCCAGGTAGAAGAGGAAGACAGATCCAAATACCAACTAATGGCCCCAGATGCCTGAACTCGTAAGGGACTGAAGGAGTAAAGGGGGTGCCTTTGTCCAACTTCCCTACTATACAGCCAGAAACCGCAGGCCCCACTGTTTTGTATTTTTTTGAATCCCTCTGATTTAATTCTTCTATCATTCATTGCCATAAATAAATAAATAATGCCTGTAAAGATTAAAGTGGGTCTATAAACAGTGCTTTCTTGGTTCTGGAGTTGAATAGTGAGATTCCCAAGTTTCCTTTGCTTTTTCTGGTTACTTAACTATATCTGGTTGTGTGAATTACTGTTGTTTGAGATGCTTTGTCTCAGAACAGAAGCTCTTGAGGAAGAGCCCCAAAGTAGTCCTAATAGTAGCAATGCCAATGGCAATGGTGGGTTCATCCTCCCTATCAATTGGTGAGGCTCTTCATTTGTCTGCTAAAGGGGTTGTCTTTATGTATCTGTCTGTATACTAGATAAATATGATATTGATTTTTGCAGGGGGAGTTCCATTCAAAGATATTTACAGTGGAAAGGTGGTAAGGTGTTGAACCAGTCATTTTCAGCAGGGGAGCAGTCTTCTGCTGATTTGGAGGTACAGTGCTTAAGCTCTCCCTCTTTTTCTATTTTTTAAGTTTCTTTCCACTAGCATTGCTCTGGATTCTTTTTAAGGACATAGATGTTTCATATTTTTTTTCAGATGCTTTGCTAATTTTAGTACTAAAAGCTAAACATTTCCATTTTGATAAAAAAGCTTCTAACTTTTTTTCTTTTATTATTATCATGCACTCAATGTCTATTTGGATTTTACTTGTGGGTTTCTAAGACCATCTTGTCACCAGGAAACCATCCCCCAGAAAAGAAGCCAACAGGAGAAAGGTGGGAAAATGTCTCATTACAAGTACCAGCTTGAACAAGACGTAAGTTGATTCAAGGCCTTTACATTTTTTCTCTCCTGCTCAGATAGTTATGCCAATATAAGGGGTGAAGTGTTTGGATCATTCAGTTTCTCTGAAAAATTAATGGCAAAATTTAGGGTGTTGCCTGTTCTAGGTTTGGATTACATATCTGAGCTCTGTGGCTCTGGTGGGTTCAACGTTTAGTTAGTTTCTTTTTCCTTTTTCCCTTTGTTCTGAATTTCTGATTTCTTAAGGTTGCATGAGCTTAGAATATTCTGAAGAAGTGTCCTTCACTGGGCAATGAAAATTATGAACTGCAATCAAGTGAAATTGAGAAAGAATAGGCAATAATCAGTTAAAATGGGAGCATTTTTATATTGAATTTGTTAGTGGATGGGGCTTTCCGTCATGTCTATTCATGTTTATCCAATGTGTGTCTTTTCCTCTCCATTATAAGATGTCTGAAGCCACATTGTGCTGGTGTATAGAGATAGCGTATGATAACGTCTAAAGCCACATTGTGGATTATATATATATATATATATATATGTATGTATATAGTTATTCACTTATATTCAGAACTCTTGATCTTATTTGAGATTGATTTGGTATTCTTAAGTGAGGGAAGGAGCAATCGCATTGCACTAGGCTTAGATAAGTGATGGGGAAAAAAGAGTGGCAACTGAACAGGAGAAAGGAAAATTTATTGTATGCAACTCATGGAACCAATGTGACCTCTGTAACTAAGATGATGCAGTTTACTCCTAGAAAAAAGATGAGAATAATGGTGATGATGTGGGCCCAGAGTGACCCAACTCTTTTATTTATTTCAAGTTTGATATCCCATGTTTAACCCAAATGTTGCCATGTCAATATTAATTACAGGTACTAAAGCTGCAACAGCAGCTGCAGGATGAAACCAATTTGCGCCTAGCTCTAGCAAGTGCTGTTGAACATTCCGAGTCACCTTGCCTAGATTCCCCTTCCAAGCTTCCAGATAAGGTTAATCTCCTTGTGTCCTTGTGTTTTGATTATCTTTCATAAATTTTGTATGTGTGTGTGTGTTCTGTTCTCATGCTTCTAAATACGGATCTCAGGCACAAGAGCTTTTGGATAGCATATCTGTTTTAGAGATCACTGTCTCAAAGCTTGAAGAAGAATCCTTTGAATTGCAATATCAGCTAAGTCAGGAAAGGAATGAGCGACGTCTTGCTGAGTATCGTTTAAAGCATCCTCCCTCGCCTGCACAGTTGATTTTTAATTGCTCTCCAGCTTACAACACAGAACTGGTATTCATTATCTGTTTTACTCAAATAATTGTTCTGTTCATTCAGGGCTTTAAATAAAATCTATAAGGATCTCTCATATTTAAAATGAAAGCTGCCGAGCATGCCTTCAGCCTGTTGATTCTGCTATAATGTAAAGGTAAAGTCAAGGAATTAGCTTTTAAATGATTTGTTGCAGATAAAAAGACCTTCTAGTGAAGGGGAAGCAGAAAGAAGCATGGATAATATGCTTCCGAGGCAAGACATTATCAATAAGGATTATTTTGTGGAGAACCTTTGGCACCACCCCAATCTGCTGTCTGAAGAGATGGTCCTGCGTATGAGAGACATTTTCCTCTTCTTAGCAGAATCATCCAAACTTTCATCTTCTGAATGCATAACTTCTCCTTCTTCATCTTCACTCCACAGCCACCTTGCCCACTCTTTATCATCTTTCTCAGCCTCACCCAACATGACTTCCTTGTCAAGTTCTCCTTCAAGAGGTAGAACATCTGATCCTTATGGAGTTCCTGGAAAAGTGGACTGGACAAGTAGTATTGGACCCTACAGCACAGCCATTGAGGTCTCTTGGTTGTCTGTCGGGAAGAAAGAGGTTGAATATGCTGCCATGGCTCTCAAAAGATTCAGGTAATCTGTCTATCTTTATTTTTAACCATAATAATATGTCCAGCTTAGAGAATCGGCTCTTAAGAAGCTGTGTTTTCATGGTTCATTAACTGCTATAAGTTCTGTTCATATACCTTATGAATGCAAACGGGTTAAATATCATTCCTGCATCATTCCAGCTTATAACAATTGAGTATATATGCAACAAATAAAGAGCCTGACATTTTCTTATTTCAATCTTCTTTATTTTTTGAGTGCAGGTTGCTAGTTCAGCAATTAGCTAGAGTAAATCCATCTCACCTATGTCACAATGAGAAGCTGGCGTTTTGGATAAATTTGTACAATGCTCTGATTATGCATGTAATTTTCCCCATGTTTTCCTATTGCCAATTCACGCATTCTACACGCTCACACATTTCCATGCATCTTCTTGTAAATAGGATTGCTGGGTGACGTGACTAGTGTTATCATGGTTTTACATCTCTGATTCTTTTTACTTGCCTCTCGTGTCTTCTTTTCCAGGCATATTTAGCATATGGAGTTCCAACAAATGATATCAAACTGTTTTCCTTGATGCAGAAGGTTCAATATCATTGTTTTCTAAGCTAGATTGCTTCCACTCCTCCCCCCACCCAACACCCCCTCCCACACTCGCTCATAATCTGCTTTCAGGTACAAATGCTAACATCACTGCAACTTGACATGTAGGCTGCTTACACAGTTGGAGGGCTCTCACTCAGTGCAGCTGACATTGAATATGCTATATTAAAAATGAAGCCTCCTGCCTATCGTCCACAAATTGTATGTAGTCATTATTCCAGAATTATGTAGTTTCCCACTCCTCAAAAACTCGAGACTTGCATTTTCACCATGCATGATGCAGATACTGTGAATACCATGCTGGTTCTGTCAAATGTATCTCATCTATCATTTTTATCATATCAGGCCTTGGTTCTTACCCTTCAAAAACTCAAGTCATCTGGGGAGCAGAAAAAGTATTCAATTGATCATCCTGAGCCTCTCGTTTCTTTCGCTTTAAGTTGTGGGCTGCATTCTTCACCTGCAGTAAGCTCTCAATTGCTTGGAAATATATATATACATACATATATATATATATATATATTGAAGAAAGCAATGCATTGCATCTACCAAAATGAAATATAAAATTTCCTTATGATATTATAATTCCTAAATAATTTTTATATTCATCTTTATTATGCAATCAGGTGAGAATTTTCAAGCCTGAAAATGTGAGCGAGTTGCTCAACAAGTCATTGAAAGATTACGTCCAGGCATCTGTCGCCATAAGCAGCAAAGGAAAACTATTGGTGCCAAAGTTGTTGCATTGTTTTGCCAAAGGTGTGGTTGAAGACTCTCAGCTACCTGAATGGATCTGCCAATATCTATCCCCAGAACAAGCTTGCATGGTCAGAGACTGTTTATCACATAATAAGTGGAGGCTCCTTGGTGCTCGAACCTTTTCCATCCTACCTTTCGATTCAAGGTTTCGTTTTCTTTTCCTATTAGACGGTAATAGCTACATTACCTTGCTTCAAGAAACATAGAGTTGCTAACAGAACTTGGTTTTCAATTGGTACACCCAAGAGAAAACATAGAAATAAGATTGTGAAGATTTATTTTGGTCTTTAGATGAGAAACGGTATGCAGATGAAGAAGGGCATGATTCTAGTTTAGCCCTTGCCTCATGATCCAGAATAGAGTTTGCATTATATCATTGTAAAGTAGTGAAGAGAAACAAGTGGCATCTTACATCGCTGCTTAGGGCTGGGCACTATACCATAAATGCCACAATTACCATTGTACC